CAGCGGCTCCCACTGAGTCCGCATGGTTGATGGGAGCTGCGTGGACCCCGGGGCACATGTGCGGGGTGGCTGCTGTGTGTCCAGCCCGTGGGGGGAGGCTCCAGGCTGCCTCCCGTCCTCCCCAGCCTCCTTTCTTCCCCATCCGTCCCTGCACACGGAGGGGTGTGTCTCCTTGTCCTGGGGGAGGACCTAAGGCCACCCTCAAGCAAGATCTTCACCAGCTTTCACCCAAACTCCACGGCACCCTTGAAATGCCCTCCTGACCGTCCCACCCCACCCGCAACCCAGGTCCGCCCCAGACACTATGGTCAGAGGTTTGAACACGGCTCAGAAACCGATGAGGACTGCGTGTCCCTGTCTGCGATGCTCCAGCTGCCAGTCCAGCCTGGCTCCGTGTAAGTTCTGTGGATGCACCCCCAGAACCTTGTTAATCCCCACGCACAGCCTCTCTGCCTTTGCTCTTGGTTTCTGCCATCCCCACCCTCATTCACCCCAGGCTCAATGCCAACATTCAGCCCATTGTCCAGAATGCACCTCGAGGGCCAGTCCTTCCAGGAAGGCTTTGCTGGTCTCCCTAGTAGGAGGCGACTGTTCCTTCCTCCAAACCCTTGTTACATTTCCCGATCCTCTTTGCAGCAGAGGTCCCTCACTGATGCCAACATCGAACATGCCTGGGCACCACCCCACAGAGACTGACTCAGGAGCTGGAGCGGAGCCCACTTATCTGCGTTTAATACAGATTCTGAGGAAGAGCCAAGATGGAGAACCATGGCCTTATTTTGAGTTTTTCCTCGCTGTGCAAGCAAAGGACATACCAGGAAAGGTAGATAGGAAGGCACATTTGATCAGCCCTCTGAGCCTTATTTTCATTACCTTCAAGATGGGGATAATAACCCTCCTTCCTTGGGTTCCTCTGAAGCTGCAGGGAGCCAACACGGCACACATCTAGGACCAGGTCCAGACGCGTGGTGCACACGTCGACCTCCCCGGCCAGCCGACTGCCAGCCTAGAGCGTTTCCCGCACAATGATTGCTGTGATGCTTAACTGAGCCGCTTGGGCTCGTGTGCTTGGCCCCAAGGGCGTCTGAGTCACCCACATGCTCCCTGACAGCGCTGAGCTCTGGACGCGGAAAGAAACTGCATGGAAGTGATTTTGTCACTCAGTGGCTTAACCACGAGCACTTCTCTTTCTGGAAAAGAACTTTTCAGCGGTGCTGACTCAACTCACAGAATGGGACACATGGCCTCCCCACATTCATCCCACAACAAGGGTTGGAGGGCTCACACAGGCTCGGCCCTGCACCGGCGCCTCTGACCTCCCGATGCCGGCGAGGGAGGTGCCAACATGCGGGGCTGGAGGGTGGCACGGGAGACTTGGAAGAGCCGAGGTGAGCTGCTGAAAGTTGCATAAGTAGGGGAGTGGCAGAACAAAACTTGGAGCCGAGTTAGTATAATTTCAAGGGCAGTATCCTTGACCCTTCAGCACAACTAACCCCAGCAATTATCCTGTTAACTTGATCAGAGTGTGAGCCTCCATCCTGATTAGCAGAGTTCAAACATGCATGATGCACAGGATGTTCTCCCTTTGCTTACAGGAGTCAGACGCCGTGTGTTGCACGGGGGATGCCCCCGGGCTCAGGGCACCTGTTTCCCCGGCTGGGTCACAGTCCCCGTTGTGAACTCCGACTCCCCCTTTGAGATGTGGGCACATGTCCACACGTCCAGACAGCTTTGCGAGCTGCCTATGCCCATCCCAGATGGCTGGACCCCAACCCCCACCCCCACCACCTTTATTTTAACCAGAGAGAAAACAAACTAAATCTTACAATCCATTTCATCTCTTTGGGCCTAAAAAGCAAAGCTGAACTATAAAAATACAAGTTGCTATCTCTGCTGTGGGATAGCACATCAGATAATCGGACGAGGTTGCTGCCAGAGGGAGTGGCTTTACGGAAATAGAAAGTTCCTGCCTTGGATCGTCTCTGTCCAAAACTTAATTTCTTCCATCTTCTTACTCAGTCTGGAACTCCTGATATATGGAAAAAAGCCTTCATTTTTAATAAATCATTTGCTTTTTTTTTCTCTCTCTCTCAAGTAAGTTGACTCAAAAGACAAATAGCCCCTAAATTCACACTAAGGTGTAAATGACTGATGGAAGATCCTTTCCCCGTAGCAGGTTTTCAGCGGGGAGAGGGCCTGAGGGAACTCTGGGCTCCAAGCATCGGAAGGGGTGAGGCGCATACACCATGCGGGCACACGGTGGCCAGGCGTGAAGAATGGATTCAGAAAACAAAGCTCGGTCGCCTTCTCCACCTCCTCCTCCTGGTGTCTCCTGTAGGACAGGGCTCCACAGACCGTGCGCCCCCCGCTGGGTCCTGGCGCCATCTGTCCCGCACAAAGGTACTACACTATGCCTGTCTCTTCCCAGGCTGTACTTGTCCTCTCCCGGACTGGGCTGGTTTATAACTCTGCAAGCTCACACCTCTCACCCCCTTCACCCGTTTCTTCTCTCTCCCTGCCCCCCTCCCCTCCAGCGGCCCCTCGCCCCCCATATTTGAGTCTGTTCCTCTTTTTGTTGTTTGTTCTTTTGATTTTTTTTTCCGATTCCACATAAAAGTAAAATCACATGGTATTTGTCTTTCTCTGACTTCTTTCACTTAGCATAACACCCTCTGTGTCCATCCATGTTGTCACAAATGGCAAGATCTCCTTCTTTTTTGTGGCTGAGTAATACTCCATTTTGTGTGTGTTATCACATCTTTCCCCATCTATCGATGGACACTTGGGTTGCTTCCGTATCTTGCTGTAAGTAATGGTACAGTAAACATCAGGGTGCAGGTAGCTTTTCCAATAAGTGTTTTTGTTCTCCTTGGGTAAATACACAGAAGTGGATTACTGGAATATCTGGTACTTCTATTTTTATTTTTTGTGGACAATTCTGTCTAACACAACATTTACAGAAACACCACCAGTTTTGGATTCTTGTCTAAATCATACATTATGTTCAGAAGACAGTACCTTTATGAACCTTGTAAACAAGCCAATGTATTAAAATAACTCAACATAGGGTAGACAAATGTTAAGACATTCTTATTCAGTAAGAAAAGGTTTCTTCACTAAAGATTAAATGTGGAGGAAGCTGCAGCATGATTAAGTTGTGCACCCAGGGATGGCTGCCATGATCATGACCTTAGGGCAGCTTGAACAACCTGAGGGGTGGGGAGCTTCCACATGCATACAGGGAATGGATTGCCCCATCTCTGCATGTCCACATTCTATTTCCCCTTCCAGGTCCAGCTTAGAGTCGACCTCCTCCATGAAGCCTTCCTTGATTGCACCTCCTCCACCATTTTTTTCCCCCAGACTCCTGTAGCATTTGACCTGAACTGCTATTATTTTTTAAAAAGATTTTATTTATTTGACAGAGAGCAAGCAAGCACAAGTGGGGGGATGGCAGGCAGAGGGAGAAGCAGGCTCCCCACCGAGCAGGGCACTCGAGCCCAGGACCCTGGGATCGTGACCTGAGCCGAAGGCAGTCGTTTAACCAATTGAGCCACCCCAGCACCCTGAACTGCTATGAACTTACCTCCAACGATCTAGTACCCGTCACAGCACCTGACGTATGGTAGGCGGCAGCCAGTGTTCGAGGGAATGCAGGAGTCTACATGGTGAACATTAATCTGCTGCCCAGATATGCTCTAACCTGAGTCACATTCTGGATTTTTACAAAGTGTGTGAGAAACACCAAGAGGGACCTGAACTACTTACCAAGCATCTCAAAGGCATCACGTACATATTAACGCACGTCCTGTATCACACAAGTCGAGGCGCGCATTTATACACAGAATACCACCCTCGCAGAACATATAAGTATATGCAGGTGAGCACACGTAAAGATCATGTAGTGACATCACCTCACGCACGTAGAGTCAGAATAAGTGGGAGCAGGCGGCAGGATGCTAAAACCTGCCCCGGGGCCCCTGACCGGTGCAGCCACCTGGTCTGAAAGCCCTCTCCGGAGGCCTTTTCCCCGGGGGTGCAGACACACCCTCTCTGTGAGCCAACCCTGGATCCTAGGCTCCGTTGTGGGCCCACCGCGCGCGCAGGGGGAGAGCCTGCTGGGGTAGCTTTCAGCTCAGTGTCTCCAAACACCTCCCTTGGGACTGAACCCCAGGCACCCCCCAACGTAGCACAAGTCCTCTCACTTCTCTGGACTTGATTTCACCTGCAAAATGCAGAGCCGCCAGCATCCCAAGGCCGTGGAGGATGTAATAGATGTACGGCGTGTATGTCCGGGACCTAATATTCGACGGATTGTCTATTATTCTCGCTGTCAACTCTCTTCGTCCTTCCCGTGGAAAAGCCAGCCTGCAGACTTCTCTAATACACTGATGCCAAAACCGCACCCCCCAGAAGCTGCCCCAGGACCCCCACCGAACCCTGCTTGGTGCCCGCACACCCACACGCCCCTCCTCACAGCAAGGGTGGCCGCCTACAGAGCTGCTCGAACGGGGCTCCCTGGTCCCAGGCTGACTACCGCGAATCCTACACACACCTGTCTAAACTAGCAGAGCCTCAGCACCTTCCCTGCCTGGAAACCTAGAAAGCGCAGACAACGCTGACCGTTACCTTCAGGAGTCAGCCCCCGTGTCTTCTCCACCACACAACTTTGCCAAAGTCAATCTCTAACCCAAAACCCCAAGACCAAGAATAGTAATTGGCACTTTTTTTTTTTTCTGTTGAAAGACGCCCCCCACCCCCGCCCCGTCCTGGAGTCCTAAATCACATTATAACGTTGCAACAGCGTCCGCACGTAATTAACCCGTGTTGCCTCACACTCGCGATGTGGCAACTGCTGAAGACATGGCTTTATAAGGGACCAGAAGGGAGAGCAGTGACCGAGCCACGGTCCGGTGAACTAGAGACGCCCACGAGGGGGGCCCTACCCGGGGGAAGCCAGGATGGCCACAGCCTTGGCAGAAAGGGCCACGTTGAGTCTGAGGATACTCCCTCCCCTGTTGCTCCTCTCCGCACGGCTCGCCCAGGCCTTCGCCGTCCCCGGGGCATCCCCCGAAGAGAAGAACGCGCGAGTCGTTCAGGTAAACGGACTCCCTGGTAGGTCGGTGCGTGACGTGCTGGTTCTTGGGAAACTGTGTAGCTTCTTTCTTCGTTTTAGTTAAAGCAGCCTGAAATTATGTGTGTGTTCGGTTTGAGCTCAAACATCTCGCTTCAGGGATCTGGGGGGTTCCTAGCTGGGCTCCTCAAACTCTGGGAAATACTGCGGCCGAGCTGCCTCCAAGCCGGGGACCCCGTTGAGAAGGAATGGTTTAAATTACAAAACTAAGTGGTTTTCTTTCTCACTCACCTGAGATGTTCCCCAGCCATTGTCCACAGTCCAGTTACTCCAGGCCTGGTGCTTTCTGTAGGGACTGGCCTCTGCAGCCAGAACTCTCAGGTGGACCAGAGAGCTCGAGGACGGGCAATCTTAAGGGACTGGAAGTCAATTCCTAGCGCAATGAGATTTCCTACGCCGGGTTCTGTTTATAAGTAAACATGTTTATAAATGTTTATAAAGCAAAACCGGCAGCTATTTTCCATTGTTGTACGAAAGTCAGGCCAAATTTTAAAGAAACATTGGAGAACACGGTCACAAACTCTTCACGCACGATTTCCTGAGCATATTGCAGTTTTAGGAAATTTGCTTTATCCTTTTCCTTCTTTCTTAAATATCTCTGACGGTGGTAACAGGGGTACCCCCCGCGGTCGACAGCTAGGGCTCAGCGAGTGTTGGCTGTGTGCAGGACGCCCTGCTGAGCATCTCATTCATCCTCACTTCAACCCTGCGGTGGGGTATTATTATTCCCACGTTAGAGACCACAGTGAATCTTAAGTCTGTTAAATGATGTGTCCAAAAACTCAGTTAATCTGTGGCAGAGCTAAGATTTGAACCCAAGGCCTCTCTGAATCCCACAGCCTGTAAGAGCACAAAGCGCTCTGTCCTGTGTCACCTGCCAAGTGACAGGTGTTCCCAGGCTGCTTAGGGCAAAAGAAGCCGTAGAACTGGTGTAGCACCCCCCGAACCTTTGCTTCCTAAGCAGTGTCGGCCCCTTCCAGAGGTGCTGTGGTGGGGAAAAGGCTAATGCCGACGAGGGTGCCGTTGCCCCAAAACCAGTTTGGAGCTCTTCTTGTGAAATTGTCAGTTCTCATTTGAGAAGCATCAGGGATGGTTGGGACCTGAATTTGTCATCTTGGCAATTTCCCTCCATCTGTGCATGTCCGTGTCTTAGTGAGGATGATTAAACCTTATCAATAGTAGCGGAAAGATAATTAAAAGAGAATCCACATCGATGCAATGAACACCTGAAGAAATCAATACACACCAGTGCTCTTTGTTTTTTATAAAAAGGAGCCAGGCTCCTGACTGTGTACTAGGGTTTTGCATGGGGACTTGGGCCTCAACCTTTATGAAACTCATGTTCTTATGTATAGACACTAACCAGAGCACTGGACAGAGGGGCTGTTCTGACCCATTGTCCCTGTTCTCTCAAAGTCGACCCCAAATCCCTGTTGTTGCTCCTCCATCAGGTTATTAGCCTGTTAGAAGTCTGATGGTGCAGAAAGGATGCACAATGCCCAGACAGCCGAAGGTAAGGACACAGCAGGTCCCCTCACGTGTGTCTCTTTTCCAGGATTACCTAGAAAAGTTCTACCAGTTACCTCCGAAAGGATTCCTGTCTGAGAGGCAGAACAGCTCTAGTGTGATTGTTGAGAGGCTGAAAGAGATGCAGCGGTTCTTTGGGTTGAACGAGACGGGGAAGCCAGATCGCGAGACGCTGGAGATGATGCGGAAGCCTCGCTGCGGGGTGCCCGACAGTGGAGACTTCATGTTAACCCCGGGAAACCCCAAGTGGAAACAAATGAACCTGACCTACAGGTGATAGTTTGAGTTCCAGAACCCGACAGGGGTGTTTGTCGAGCATCTGTGACGTGCCAGGCACTGTCCCAGGACGTGGGATTCATGGGAGACAGGTGTCCCTACCCTGGAGAGGCCAGAGTCTGGTGTGAAGGAGCAAAGACCCCACAGGCTCTCCTCACCCCACAGCCTGATGCTTTGTCCTCCTTCTCCAGCAGCCTCAAGAGGGTGATGGCAACATTAGGCTGTCTCTCTATGAACTCCATGTAGGACCCCAAAAAAGGCTCACTCATTGCTGGACAGACTAGCCCCACGTTCCATGCATCCTGATGATGACAGTTAATGATACCCAGTACCTGTTCAACACTGTGATGTGCCGAGTACTGAGCTGAATACTTGACATGTACTTAATCCCCACAACCACCCTGTGAGAGGGCTACTATTTTATGATCCTCCTCTTATGAATAAAGAAACTGAGTTTAAAGATAGGGAGGGACCTGTGCAGAGGCCACATCTGTCTGCAACCTTGACGCCTGCCCCCCTCCTTAAACCCCCTCCAGGGCTAGCTCATCACATATACCACTCACTCCCAAATGGAGAACCGTGGTCTGCTGGTGGCCTGCCCTTCTAAACCATAACAAGTCCTCCTCCCGTCTCCTCATTCTGAAGGATTATTAAGTACACGACACAGTTGTCAAAGGCCGATGTGGAAGATGCTATTAAGAAAGCCTTTCAAGTGTGGAGCAACGTGTCACCCCTGACCTTCACCAAGATCTCTCAGGGAGAAGCAGACATTAGGATCGCCTTTGTCCGAGGAGGTAGGCTTGCAGCCGTCATGCTCAGATTTGCCTTCCCTGGCTAAACTGGGACTCAGCAGGGACCTGAGACAAACTGTCTTGTTTCAGATCATGGCGACAATTCTCCATTTGATGGACCCAATGGGATCCTCGCTCATGCCTTTCAGCCGGGCCGAGGTATTGGGGGAGACGTTCACTTCGATGCAGAAGAAACGTGGACGTTAACTTCCAGCAGTAAGTTAACCAAGGTCTCATCAACATGCAGCTGAATATGCTTTTCTCACATCAGAAGCCCCTCCTGCATACATACACACACACCCAAGTTACTGCAACATTTCAAATTCATGCAAGCTGATCGTTTTAAATTTTTGCTACCTCATAATGCTAAGTAAATTTAGGTTTTAAAAAAGCCCTGGGGCTAATTGCTGACCTTGTTTTCCTAGGACAGAAATCAAAAAGCTACAGACTGTGGCTAGATCCTGCCCGGTCCTGTTTGTATAAATAAAGTTTTATTGAAACAGGGACACCTCACTTGCTCATGCATCATCTACAGCTGTTCTCACAACAGCAGAGCTGAGTACCTGCTACTGAAAGCACACGGCTCACGAAGCCTAAACTACTTACTATCTAAACCTTCACAGAAGAAGGTTGCTGACCACTGCTTTAGGGTATGTGTTTCTTTGTAATATTCTGAAGTTTAGTGATGTAACAGCCACCATGTTTTTCGTTGAGTTATTTCATTTCACAGAACTCTTTTTCAGTGGTTGTTCCTGTAGGACACACCACCCCTTTCGGGAGAAGACTGATAATGAGAAGAGTCAGACCACCTGAAGGGAAGAAGTGAGAGTAAGGACAGGTATATGCAGACCACGTGGTGCTCCACAAGGCCACAGGGCAACAGTACGCCACAGAACACTTTAGAAAGTAGGAAAGGACCCTTTTATCTTTGCTTGGAACCTGCTCCTCCCACCATTTTCTCAACATATATGTTGTGCGTGTTTTTTCCACCCAGACCCTGTGCTGGGAGCTGTGTGTGCCCAGAGACAACTAACACTCCGCTACTTTGAATGCCTCTTGCCCTCCCCACTGGAGCACGTGGCCGTCGCCTCTTACCTGAGCTGAATGATCCAGAGTGCCACGTGCTTCCCAAGCTCTCTACATTTGCTCACATTGCACCCTCAGACCCCCTTCCAAGATCTCTCTCTCTTCTGCCCCATGCCGCCCCTGTCTTGTCTCTCGGCTGGAAGTGAGGACTTTCTCCTCGGAACCCCAACAGGCCTTCGTTTCTCTCTCTCAGCCGCTCTCCTCATTGTTCTGTGCCATTCACTGGCGTTGGCGTGCATCTCCCCTTCTAGACTGTGCGTCATGGCAGATCCCCCGGAGCCCCTCACAACGTGCTCCGGGCCCTCAGAGAGGTTTTCTGAGATGCATGCAGGAATGCAAAAATGCAAGGATGTGACGGTCAGGGAAAAAAGTCTTGGAGCACAGGTAGAATTTCCCTGGGCTAGTTATCAGTAGGAAGTTGAATGCTGTCGTCAGAGCACAGGTCTTACCGTCAACCTGGATTTGGCCCTAGCTCAACCACTTACCAGTTGCCAGACCTCCAACGAGATATCCAAACTCTGCGGGCTTGTAGTTCCTTTACTGTAAAACTACTTCTAACAATACTTCACACAAATATTGTGAGGACTGAATCATCACGCTTCCCCGCATGTAGAAAGTACTCAGTTTTAAGAGGTGGGCATGGAAGACCGTGTGCGCTGTGTATGTGGGGCAGCCGCAGTGAAGGGTTCACATCGCACGTGTCTGCTGGGCAAGTGAGGGGTTCTTGCACTTGGCCAAGGAGTTTGGGCTCTATCTGACGGAATTGTGAGCCTTGGAAGTCGAGTTCCCAGCTGGGGAAGGCATTGTGCTCCTAGAAGTTAAAGATGGGGGAAGGAGCAGGGTTTGTCTCTTTCAAACAAGGGGGAAGGTGGAGAATCCTTGAAGCTACTTGGAGAATGGGAATCAGGGAGGAGCTGGTGCTGGCTGATGGGTGATCAGCAAGGCAAAGCAGGTCCATCTGCATCCAAGGCTGATGGCGGCCGGGCAGGCTTCTTCTCGAACTGCCCATGCACTGAGACTCTATCAAAGGGGCTCTGGGCCTGGGAGGCTGGAGACGGCTGCAGAGCCTCACAGGACTGTGGGGCCTGCCATCCCTTCTCTCAGCCTCAGGTCCACATCCACAGACTACTGGAGTCAGAATAAAGGCAGCATTTCTTGGTTCTGAGATTTGATGAGAAGCTTCCCCCACCTGAACCTACAACTCCTACCTTGATTGCTTCCAGCCTCTCTCTTCAGGTGCCTGAAGGGAAAATGAGAAAGACAGGCATGGCAAGTGCGGTTTCTCCAGGCTCTGTTGGCTTGGAAGCTGCACTCCTTGAGCTCCTATTGTCTCTGCCCTTGGATCCACTTGGAGCCACTGACCACACACGCTTGCATTCCAGATTACAATTTGTTTCTTGTTGCCGCCCATGAATTTGGCCACTCCTTGGGGCTTGCTCACTCCACTGACCCCGGTGCCTTGATGTATCCCACCTACGCTTTCCAAGACCCCAGCACCTACAACCTCCCTCAAGATGACATCAACGGCATTCAGGCCATCTATGGTAAGGTCATCAGAACAACCCTGCATACATGGTGAGGTGCGGGCTTATCTAGGATGTTCTTCGAGAAGAGGGATGGGATTAGGATTTTTAAGTAGAGGGTGGGGAAGGGGGGAGGCACAGAATTCAAATTGCTTTACTTCACAACTTAAACTGGAATGATCTCTGAAAATCACCATTCTGATTTAAAATAATAATAACTTTAAGAGGGCCAAATGTACAGTTACTTTAATGCCTTGTGGGGTAGTCTGGTAGGGTTTCTCTTCTTGTGAAAACCCTTGGCTTTCCTGAGGAGTGTCCAAGGTACTCCAGCAGTCACACTACACGGAAGCTTATAAAAAGCTTTGTTGTTGTTGTTGTTGTTTTTAAGGTCCTTCAAACAACCCTGTCCAACCAACCGGACCAAGCACACCCAAAGCCTGTGACCCCAGACTGACGTTTGACGCCATTGCCACCCTCCGTGGAGAAATACTGTTCTTTAAAGACAAGTATAAGACTGAACTATTTCTTCCTTTGACTTAACTTACTGGCATAACTTAGAGCTGGATTCTAATGAAGTCCCACGTTACATACCGCTCAGCTTTTCCTTCGAATTCTGTGCATCTCATTGCAATGGGTTGTGTTTTCTGGGTAACTTGAAACATCCAGGAAAATTAAAAAAAAAAAAAAGCTGCAAACATGCATAAACATTCAGCTGTGGGTGATAGTGTAGCTGACCGGGCTCCAGGTGCTCGGGAACGTCACACGGGGGCTTACCAGACACTGAAACCCCATCCACGCCCACCCACATTCAGTCCAGTAAATGGGAACCATCATGTGTTAAGCTGTGGGCAAGTCATCTCACCGGTTGGATTTTTCAATCTTCCATTGGCTGCTTTGTGATTGTGTGATCGGGGACTGATTTACTTGTATTGCTTTTGCTGGAATACTCTAAGTATTCTCAGCGTTTTGTAGGAACGACAGTGAGCCTTGTCAGGGCGTGCAGAGGGGACAGGGCAAATATAATCATAGAAGGTCATTCCTAGGACCTCCCCTAAAACCTGTGAAGTGCCCAGCAGGTGCACTGGCTACGGTGCTAGCCACTGCCTCCACGACATCATCCGACCCTCCCCGCAGTCTCGTCGGGGTGGGCGCTCATGCAGGATCCCGGGAGACTGCCCACTCACAGCCTTGTGCTCCGCTAGGTACTTCTGGAGGAGACACCCTCAGCTGAGTATCGTTGAACTCAATTTCATCTCTCTATTCTGGCCATCCCTGCCCAGTGGTATACAGGCGGCCTATGAGGATGTGGACAAGGACCTCGTTTTCCTATTTAAAGGTAACTGCCTACGTTTTCATCCTGTTTTAGTTGTCCCTGAGGCAAGGAGAAGACTTCTTTGTGGTCCCTTCCAGGATGAGAGGAGGTGAGCCCGTGAGAGCATGTTACCCCGGCCAGACTTGGTCAAGAGACCTGGGTTGGGTCGGGTCCCCGCCACTAAGGGTTGCATGAGCTTGAGCAGCTAACCCTTCCCTCCTCAGCCCTGCTTTCCCTCCCATGGTGTTCTTGCTCCCTCGTCCCAGGTCTAACAGTCTCTGAGTCCCCGCGGCTATAAGAGGGTCTCTGCATCGAAGGCTCATGACCTGAGAAAGTCCCCCAGCTGTGAGGCCCTGCTTGTTGGGCTGAGAAGCCAGAATTATTGGCAGGTGCTGGGGAACCACTGAGACTGTTAGAGCCCAATGAACTTGACCACCTTGGTCTTTTAAAGACTCTTGTTCCATTGTTTCTATGATGAATTTACACAAAGACTAAGCAGTGATACCACATTATGTTATCAGAACAGAAGGACTTTATCTAAAGTATAACCTGGTTCGTTGGCAGGCTGCCGGTACTGGGCTCTGAGGGGCTATGATGTTGAGCAAGGTTATCCCAGGGACATCTCAGACTACGGCTTCCCAAGCAGTGTCCAAGCGATTGATGCAGCTGTTTACTACAGGAGAAAAACCTACTTCTTTGTAAATGACCAAATCTGGAGGTAAGGCAAACTACTGTTTCAGTTAGAGATTGAAATCTGCATATTTACCGTCTACAGACCACTAACAACCAGCCATCTGAAGGTTTTTAAAAACCCAGGTGATCTCTGATAGGCATTCTTTTTCACAAAATGGTCGATGTTGCCATGGTTTTTGAAAGTGTCATTTTTATAAAATTAAAAAGTCTTCACAATGGTATTGAGGATTCCACATCAGGAAACAGCAAACCTTAATAAGGCACCAGGAAGCCATGAAAAGAGAGAGGCTAATTCTCAGTTTGGAGTTGAATTCTAACACACTCAAGAAAATGCTATTCAGATAGCCTACAAAATGTGGTGCCCACATTGGACTTATTACCTCACTATTCCGGGGGGGGGGGCGCTAGTAGGAGGAGGAAGGAAGAGAGAGAGACTAACTATGTACCCATTAAGGAAATCCTCAGAAAATAAAACCCTTCTTTTGGAAAATAACACTGTGCTAGCCATCAGAAGCCTGTTTCAGTGTTAATGCTACCCAGGTGTTTTTTAAATAGGATTGTACACTTAGGTAGAGAAGTCCACCATTCTTAGGCCCAGGAAATAAGACATTATGAAGACCAAATGAGAAAATATGTGTGAAGACACTTTGTAAAGTATATGCAATTTAAAGAAAACCGTTGTTGTTTTATACTATACTGGTTTTAAAACATGGGACTTTTTTTTTTTTCCATCAGATATGATAACCAAAGACAATCCATGGAACCAGGTTATCCCAAAAGCATAGCAGGTCTCTTTCCAGGAATAGAAAGCAAAGTTGATGCAGTTTTCCAGCAGAATCGTAAGTAGAAAAACTAATAATAAATTTGTTTAAATTTTTAAAATAGCATATTTGCATTTAAATGTTATATTGGAACAGGCATGGGCTGTTTTCAATTGAAAACATCTGCGATCCACAAACTAATTCAATACTTTATCTTTTTTTTTTTTTTTTTACAGATTTCTTCCTTTTCTTCAGTGGACAAACATATTATGCATTTGATCTTAGTGCTCACAGGGTTACTAGGATTGATAGAAGCAATCGATGGCTCAACTGCAGATAAAGCTGAAGCAAAGTCACACATATTTGCATCCATTTTCCGCATGTGGAAGGAAAGTCTAGTTTGTGTAGCCATTTTCCTGGGTCCTATTTATACTTTTCTCAACAATGAGTAATGCTGTTTGCTATCACTGTCCTCATTGGACCTCCCTTCAGTGAAAATACATTTGGAGTATCCTGTTGTCTCCAGGGCTGATTGAGTGCCTATGGATTCCATCTCAAGGGAGGAGATGAAGCCTTCCCTGTCACCTCAGTATTCACTATTTCGTCACTTGCTTACCTGACTTCCAAAATGCTTATATATACCTAAATCTCCTTTATCTGCTACATGCCATTCAGCACTGGGTTTTGGTGAAATGTAGAAACGTTTACCAGGAACAGCATAAACAGTCCCTCTTGCCTTTACTGAAAATGTGGTACTATTTTCCACTCTTGGAAAAAAAATATTGTTGATCCATGTTGTGGCTTGAATTGTGTCTCCCCAAGAAAGATAGGTTGAAGTCCAATCCTAGGTACCTATGAATATACCCTATTTGGAACTAGGGTCTTTGAAGATGCGGTTAGTTAAAATGAGGTTATGCTGGAGCAGGGTGGACCTAGGGACTGGTGTCCTTGTAAGAAGAGAAGCAGCACAGACAACACAGACACATAGCAGATAAGGATGTGCACACATGAAGACCAACATGGGAACGATGCCTGGAGAAAGCCAACAGTGGCCAGGAACCACCAGAAGCTAGGAAGAGGCAAGGAAGGGTCCTTCCTAGTGCCTTCAGAGAAAAGAATTTTATCCTCCCCACACCTTGGTTGTAGACTTGTAGCTTCCAGAACTGGGATAGAATAAACTGGGTTGGAGTCTGTGGTGCTTCCTTACGGCAGCCCTGGGATATCTACCAGCTGGATACAGTACCCCTGCATTTAAGAAAATGAGCAACACAAAACAGCAAAGTTGAACCCTCAGTAAGAATTACGGTCACCTTCCCCAAAAAGGAGCAGAAAGGGGAGGTCCGACTTTCTCTTCTGTCTCCTCCCAGCTCTACCCTTTTAGAGTCTAAGCAAATGGGCTAGTGATTGGAACTGTTGTTCCTTATTTATTTTTTTCCAGGGATACTCAGGAGGGCACACTACCCATAAGTGGGATTTACTGCACAAACCAAACAGTGCTGTGCACAAAATTCAATGACTCTCATTAAATTAAACTAAGCTGAGATGCATACATTTGATAGTGTTTCTTTTCTGTCAAGAACTTTAGGATTCTGGGACCATAATGGCTAATCCAGATATCAAAATCATTATAATGTCATATTTGCAGTTGTTAGAATATAATGCAGCTTATTACACATTAAATAAGTAAATTGTAAAATATATTTATTACATTCTATTTTTCAGTTCGTTTTTCTTTTTCATTTTTAAAGTTTTTAATTCCAGTTAGTTAACATACAGTGTTATATTTAAGATACTAATCATTTTTTGGATGTATGCATGGGGAGTATATTCTCCCAGATAATTCCTAAGATATTATCTATTTAATTTTTTTCATTTTATTTTATTATGTTATGTTAATCACCATACATTACATCATTAGTTTTTGATGTAGTGTTCCATGATTCATTGTTTGCGTATAACACCCAGTGCTCCATTCAATACGTGCCCTCTTAATACCCATCACCGGGCTAACCCATCCCCCAACCCCCTCCCCTCTAGAACCCTCAGTATGTTTTTCAAAGTCCATCATCTCTCATGGTTCGTCTCTCCCTCCAATTTTCCTCCCTTCATTCTTCCCTTCCTGCTATCTTCTCCTTCTTTTTTTTTTTTTTTTAACATATAATGTATTATTTGTTTCAGAGGTACAGGTCTGTGATTCAACAGTCTTGCACAATTCACAGTGCTCACCATAGCACATACCCTCCCCAATGTCTATCACCCAGCCACTCCATCCCTCCCACCCCCCACCACTCCAGCAACCCTCAGTTTGTTTCCTGAGATTAAGAATTCCTCATATCAGGGAGGTCATATGATACATGTCTTTCTCTGATTGACTTATTTCGCTCAGCATAACACCCTCCAGTTCCATCCACGTCATTGAAAATGGTGAGATTTCATTCCTTTTGATGGCTTGAGGAAGACACAAATGGAAAAAGGTTTCAGTTCGTTTTTACATCTCACAGATAATTTAGTTTTGGTACCTTATTCTGGTTCAAAAATTAAGTGAGTTTGAAATAGATATATTAAATGACTGACTTGTGATCTATAATTTCTTAAGATGCTACCACATAGTTCATATGAAGTATGAAAACAAATGGCAAATTTCAGTATATTTGCAGCCATTTATTTTCTTGTCAGAATTATAACATTGACATTAACTTTTAGTTTCCATTTACAAAATATTTTGTAAATATTCAATTTCCTTTACAAATTCCCTCAAATATGTCAGCACATTTTTTCTCCACTTATTTTACAAGATGATAAAACAAACTAGGATACACTATCATTCATTTATTCAACAATAAGTAATCACTTACATGTCCCAGGGACTGTGCTAGGGAAAGGGAGAGATAGAAATAATTCATTGCATCAATATAACAAGTGCAAACATGAAAGTCAATTTCAGACTATCATATTTTCTAAGACATCTTATGTCCCTTTTTACAAGCATGAAGATGGGAGATTCAGAACTCCTGCTAGTTATGCTAGGTTCTTGCCCCAAACCTCATATGTATACACACATTGTTGAGATGAGAACTGAGTTCATATTATTTCTTTAACCATATTTCGCAGAGTCTTAGCAAGTGAACAGCAATGTGAAGTGAAGCAAAGAATTCAAAAATTACTCCTTTTTGTAAAGTTCTCTTCTTGACAATATGTGGTATTTTGAAATTTTATGTGAATACAAGAGCTCTAAGAATCTAAGCTTAGAATTTAAATAATGAGAGTACTTTTTACCTTGGGTTAAATTTCTTCAAAAGCAAAGGCTAAGTCCAGACCTTGGTGCAGTTATTTTATTGGGGACATGTTCCCAGGAAGCAAGAGTGGGGAGGCAGGCAGAGTGAGTTAGAGGAGAAAAGCCAAGACAAGGGCGCTATTGAGGTTTCTACGCCTTGCAACTGGGGCTTGGTGCCAGTTGAACCTCCCGAGAAGCCTAGCCAACACCTTTCACTGTTGAAATCTGGAAGGGAAGGGAGGCTGGGCATTCATCCTTCCGTTCCTTCGTGCATAGGGTGGCTCTAGGCTAACACTTGGGAGGAAAGCAGAAAGCATGCCAGAGGCATCTCTTACATCTTTGCTGATGGACGATTAAAATGATGGGAAATTGGAGAAGTCTCCTCTGGAGAAATTTCACAGCCCAAGAAAGAAGACTTAAAGATACTGACACTGACCTATGTTAACACCTTCTCCCCACTTGCTTGGTGTGATAAGAGCCCAATTTCATTTGAGGTCGTGATACATCCAACTAACAATACATTTTGTGGTCTTGCTTACGACTAGGTGTGGCCAGCGTTTAATTTCTTGCCAAAATGCATATGCAGAGTATTGTGTGCACTTCTGGAAAGAGATTGGGAGCTTGCTTTCTCTGCTGTCCTCCTTCCTGCTGCCTGTAACGAAGACACAACCATCAGAGCCTGAGTAGCCACCTGGAGACCATGAGGCATTGCACCGAGAGCGGCGCAACCAGGTGGAGGCAGCCTGTATCCTCGGGGATGGGGGTTGCCATATGAGCCCTGGGCTACCCAATCTGTGCTTCTTTTAAGTGAGGGAGAAATAAGTTTTTATTTTCTGAGTCATCTGTTAGTTTGAGTTCTCTATTCAACCAAATCATATCCCAATTAATGCATCACACGAAACATCTGGAACCTACCTCACCTCCCTGCAGTGAAGGTCATCTCACAGGGCTTCCAGTCAGCTCTCTGGTCTCTCATTCTTAAACAGATTGCACAGCACAGAGTCTCTAAATATGTGAAAAAACCTCCTAATGTGAGAAACAGGCACCCAGAAGGAAACTTTGAAGAAATAGAAACAATTCTTGGAGCAAAAGAAAATGTCAAGATAGACTTAAAAATACTATACATTCTCAAAAGATAAGGTATGTTCTACATCCAAACACCACTAACAAAATGCAAGAAAATAAATAAAATATTCAGCGAATTAAAGCTCTTGGAAACTAAAAACACAACTGGGCTGGAAAATAATGTTGGTAGAAAGTAGTAAAAGAAATATCAGGAGCATAGAGTTTCAAGCCACAAGGTCCAACAGATGTGTATTCTAGAAAAGGTAAGGGAAAATAGAGTGGGAAGAAATTATCAAAGAAACTACAGAGGAAATTTTTCTCGAAGTTTTCATAATGAAAGGGTCTGCTTACTGCCCAGCAATGTTAATGCGAAAAGAAAAAAAAAGAAAAGAAAACCACATCAAGAGACATCATTGTGAAATTTCAGAATATCTCCATAAAGAGAACGTTCCCAACATTTTTCAGAAGAAAATGCATCAAGAATCAGAATGAAAGACTTCCCAGCAGCAAAACTAGATTCTAGAAAACAATGCAAGCGTGCTTCTAATGTCTTAAAGAAAATTTATTTTGGTCTGAAATTCCGTAGGCACACTCTCAGTCAGGTGTCAAATGGAATAAGGGACATTCTTAGGCATGAAAAGATGGAAAACATTCATTTTCCTTGTACCCTTTACACTGTCCACCCCCATCCCCCTCGGCTATCTTCAAGTATATTGGCATCAGTTGGCCAGATCTCCCAAAGCTCATCTCTGCTGTGCTGCCTGCTTCCTCGGGCTCTCCACACACCCCCTGTGTCATCTACATCCTACCCATTTCATTCTTCAAGAGCCAGCGGAATCCCCGCCTGGCTGAGCCGCTAGACCACACTCATCAGCCGCGATCCTACCTTTGGCTCTTCTCACGCTCTGGAATCTTCAGTGCACATTTCGCCACTCGCCTCAGTTTCATCTGGCATTAATTTCTGTACATGTCTGAATTCCCCAACAAGATTGGAACGGTATTTTACTCATGCTTCAGTTTACGGTGACAGGCAAATAGCAGGTGCCCAACAAACATGGGCTGTTTATCCTAGTTAATTACGGTAATCTGACTCCTGATTCAATTGTCTTTTCGTGATACCTTTCTATCCAAGATATTCTGGGGTTTTGTTCAAAAGAAAATTACTTTACAATCTCTCAAGAACTTCAAAGATAAGAAGAGCTCCAACTTTGCAAGGACAACAGTAACTTGGAGGCTGGCTTCCTATTATATTCAATTCAATAATGAACAGTGATTGTGTTTACTCAAAAACTGCAGATCATGATTGCAAAATCAAGTTAACCTAAGGGGAAAAAAAAGCATATCATGACACACTTCATGGCAAATGTCCTTTTCTGGTATTAATTAAATGATGATACAAGCCAATTCATGCCACGTCTTACTCTTGTTTTCTAAATTCTGTGGAAACAGAAACAGGCTTCAACAGAAAAGAGAGAGGAATGAAGAGCCTTCTGCTTCAATTTTTGCTCCTTATAACGTTTTCTTCTGCATTTCCTACAGACCGAAAGATGGACACTGAAGAGAACATGCGGCTGGCCCAGGTACTGTCTCAATACATGTTAATAATGACTATCAATAAAAAATGAATTTTATTGATTGTCTTGGAACCTAAAAAGACAGCAAATTCCTACAAATTCTGGTACTTTCCCCTAGCTCTAAGGACACCAAGTAACCAGGTACGGGGTGGAGGGTGGGGGTAGGGGTGGGAAAGGAGGATTTGCTGCCATTTCAAGCAATGGGTCCAAGTGAAGACAGAGGGAGGAGAAAGGGGACAGCCCTGGGAGAAATGGAGATCTCTATATAAGACTGTCCCTACCAACCAGGGGGCCCAACTACAACTTTCAGGTCCCCTTACCCCTACATGCATGACAAATACTTTGCCTTGGAGATTCCCTCTAAAAATCAGTCCAGTGAATTTGCCATATTTAGTTACCTTAATTAAATTGGCAAAATGAACAACCACGTATCTCTTTTAGAATTTGTTTTAAGGAAACACCAAAATGAAAGTAGACATGTGTAAGCTGTGTGATTCTTTAACACACAGAATCAGCTGATTGTCTTCCCTGGAGGTTTGGAGTTTTATAGGCTCTGGGGTTTGTATAATTCTGGTCACACACAGCTCAGCCACTTGTTGAGAACTGAAGAGGCAGGATGACTCTGCTTCCGTCCTTTCTTTTTTCCTCTCTCGCTCCTTCCTTCCCCTCACTACTTACTTCTTTCTTCCCACCTGAAAAGGACCTCAGACGATTTTGTTTTATCCTGAGATATAGATTTGCTGTCCTGTAGGTTGCGTCCTTTTTTTTTCTCTTTGGTCAGGCATATCTCAACCAGTTCTACTCTCTTGAAATGGAAGGGAGTCATCTTGTTCAAAGCAAGAACAGGAGTCTCTTAGATGGCAAAATTCGGGAAATGCAAGCATTTTTTGGATTGACAGTGACTGGACAACTGGACTCAAACACTCTTGAGATCATGAAGACACCCAGATGCGGGGTGCCTGACGTGGGTCAGTACGGCTACACTCTCCCAGGGTGGAGACGATACAACCTCACATACAGGTAACGCTTCGGCACAGTCTTTTCCCCCTAGTCCCCAAGCACAGGAAGACAATGGTTGATTGCACCGAGCACTTCCTAGGTGCATCATGGCCCTTCATGGGTCTCATTTATTCCATCCTCCCCATGACACTGGGATGTAGGCACCACTGATGGGACCACCTGAAACACAGGACACTGAAACAAAAGGTTATTTACCATCGTCAAGTCTTACCAGCAGACTGGCTCTGGCAGATATGCTTTAATCTCTAGCCTCGGCCACTTGCATATAAACTCAGGACCAGAAGCACAGCCATCTGATTGCCGATGGTTGAAGGTACGGCTGGAGTATGCTCAAGAGAAAATGGGAAGAGCCTGGAGCAACCTGTTCATGTTAGAGACACCTGTGGGCGAGAGTTATCAAATCTCAGGTAGACCCCGGGTGAAGTGTGGGGTTTGCCCCCAGGCATCTCAAGGAAAGGCGGCTGAGGTGTGCTTCCAACCTGAGTCGGTGCCCTTGACTGTGGCTCTCAAGCCCTCCTGGCAGGCCCCGAAGTACTTCTCATAACTCTTTCTTCACTTCAGTCTTAGGGGTTAAAAATAGCTTTAGCAAGATAGGGAATATAAACCAGAGGGAAATCTTTTCCTGAGTAACTAACTCTTGAAAGCTCTCAAGGGAGACTCTTCATATATGACACACGCATAAGACTGATTTCCACAAGCCATCTGAGAAAGCAGATCTCCATATTCATGTACACAGCAGGCATATACCTGAGATTAATACTCTCCCTCTCAGGATATGATCTTAGGAAAGTCACTGACCCTCTCTGAGCCTCATTTGTTGAAGTGTTATTATACTCCCTGATAAACAGGGTGGATGACAGGATTGGATCACACAGCATACGTAAACGTGCTTTATTTAAACAGTAACATATTATACCCATCCAAGAACAGCATGATACTATCCGTTAGTGCAGCATATGATTTATAAGAAAGGATCTTTTTGTCTTTGTGTGCCTACATGCATGTGTCATCACCAACTGATCTATTCTGGTGATTTTTGAAGAATCATAAACTACACTCCGGATATGGCACGAGCAGATGTGGACGAGGCTATCCAGAACGGCCTAGAACTGTGGAGCAGAGTTACTCCACTGACATTCACCAAGACTTCCAAGGGGATTGCAGACATCATGATTGCCTTTAGGACCCGAGGTAAGGTTTCCAGCAGAGAAAAAAGTATGGCTATTTCCATCTCAGGAGATGTGGAGAGGCTGACATTTTCTTCCCCGTGTGAACTGTATCTCAGTCCATGGCCGGTGTCCTCGTTACTTTGATGGCCCCTTGGGAGTCCTCGGCCACGCCTTTCCTCCCGGTCTGGGTCTGGGTGGAGACACTCACTTCGATGAGGATGAAAACTGGACCAAGGATGGAGCAGGTGAGCCCAATTTTCTTCATGAACCAAATTTTATTATTCTAACGAATCCCTGAAATAGCTTTGCAATTAGTTGCTTTTCGCTTCCCAATTTCCCCACAGTTTCCATATTCCAAGATGACATTGATGGAAGTGTTCAATATCTATTAGATAATTGTGCTTGTACAGGTCAGAGCCTTATCCACACAATGCCCTCATACAGATGCTAATCCTTTCATGATCTGAGCATTCTTCGAGTACTCGCACACTTGTTCATATACCCACAATGCCTGAAGGTCCACTGTGGGCCTGGAACTGTGCAAGGCATTGAACAGACCACAGAGTTGTACTGGACAAGTTCCAACCCTTCAGAGGTTCATGGTCTTGTGTGGTATGAGGCCCTGACCACACACCACCCCACAAGGCAGAGTGTGCTATGTGTTGTACCAATGGTAGATGTCATCTCTAGCTTCAGGATTGAGGAAGACTCTAGGGAGGTGGTAATTCTGAGTTAGTGATTAAAGGATGGTATTGTGGGCCCATGGCCCCTAGAAGGTCGAGCTGAAGCATGAACTTCCTCTTCTAACACTTACCCACCTTCCAAGGAATTAGACCCTAATCTTCGTTCAACCTATTCCTTCAGACCAACTGAGTTGATTTTATTTCCTTTAATATGCCTGCCTGGTACTAAAATAGGAAAATTTTTATTACTTTTCAAACAAAAATCAAAACTTTACTACAGTAAAAATGTGTGCATCCAACAAAGGAGCAGGCTCAGTAGACTTTAGGGTTCTCCCCACTCCATTTACTGTCATTGACAACAGTCACCTTGGGTCTGGTATCTGGTTTCCTGGGTCCCAGGAAAGCAGCTGTGATTCTCCTGATGTGTGGCATATAAGATCACACAGTGCAGTCCTGACCAAGTAACTCCAGAGAGTCCATGGGTCAGTTTCATAGTTTCTGCAAATCAGCACATGATAGATACTCTACAATTTTGGTAAATGAAGTCAATCAGAAATCCTTTACTCAACATCCACCATGACCCAGGCTCTGTGATATAGAGTACACGATAGTGTGCGAGACACAGACCCTGCCCTTGAGGGGTTTACAGTCTAGGGGACACACTCAAATGGCAATTAAAATCAGTATGACCAACACTGGGATAAAGGAAACTATAGCAATGTAGTAGGAGCACGTAAAAAAAAATTGAACCCAAACACAGAGGTCAGGGGAGGAAGTGATACCAAACCTGAGTTGAAGGCTAAGCAGGAACTCAGAAAGCAAAGTGGAGTAGAGAGTGCTCCAGAAAGAATAACCCAACCAACTCAAGTACCAGAGTTGTGGCAGAAATGGTGAATAGGATCCAGACCATGTAGGGTCTGAAAAGCTGGCGTAAAGCTTTGGAAGTCATTGAGATGACCTGAGTTTGAATTCTTTTCGGAGTCCCTGTCCCATCTCGCCAAAAGCACACCCAGCGATACTGACAGCCCAACAAGGGGCACCAGCAAAGGCCAGAGCAGAAAAGCCTAAAGGACCATTAGATAATCCTTGGTCATTCCATGTTTATTTTGTGCAAACATCATTGGACAAGGCTCCATCATAGAAGGCTCAGCCTTTTCTTTAGGATCCATAGGCTGAGTTGCAAATCCATGGACAGTCTTATATTTAGAACCTAACAGACTAGTGGGAGAGAGAGAGAGATAAAAAGGCAGTTTCACCATGCGTGGTGAGACTTCCAATATGGGTGTATAGGAGGCACATCTAACCATTCTTCCATCCAAATAAACACCTGGATATCCAGCAACAATTATTAAGCATCTACTACTGATAGGCAGTTCAAGAGTCACCAGGAATAAAAGGTGGCTAAGACACAGTCCCTGAAAAGATGCATCACTTCATGAAAGAAATAGCGCATTCCCTTACGTGCCATGACAGAATTAAACACTGAGTCTCTGGAGACTCAGAAAGGTGCATTTAACTCAGCCAGGATAGGAGGGGGCAAGTAAGAGAAGCCTCATGAAGGAGATGATTCTAGAGAGGTTTCCTGAGCAACAAGTAGAAGAACTAGGCAAACAGCGGTGGGAGAGATAATATTCTGGGTAAGACGAGGTAGTAAGTACTACCTGGGATGGAGGTAGTAAGACATAGAGATTAGAAGGAACATGGCACAGATGAGAGATGCAAATGATTGAGTATGGTTAGCTCGTGAAATATGAGAACAAAATATGAGTCTGGAAAAAAGGCAGGGGCTAGATCATGGAGGGCCATGGTAAGGTGTTTGGACTTGATCCTACAGCCAATGGAGAACCTCTGAAGCGTACAAGTAGGAGAAATGTGATCACATCCAGTACAGCCCAGCAACAACCAAAAACTGGCGGCTTCTATTTTTTTTAGTAATATCTATTTCTCACACACCTGTTTCCTGCCATTTGCTTGCTCTGGATCATAGTTCTCCATGATATGACTAATACCAATTACTAATGTTGAAATATTTCCCAGATAAATGATGGAGCATATAAGAATTATCCACTCTATGGCAAGCTTTTCCTTCTCTCCCCTTAGTTACTTCCTAATCTCAGATGCAACCATTCTTCTTTTGATTGACCCACATACCCATGTTTTTCCTGTTTTTGTTAAGGATTCAACCTATTTCTTGTGGCTGCTCATGAATTTGGTCATGCACTGGGACTCTCTCACTCCAATGATCAGAAAGCTTTGATGTTTCCAAATTATGTCTCTCTGGATCCTAACAAATACCCACTTTCTCAGGATGATATCAGTGGAATCCAATCCATCTATGGTGAGCAACCTCATAAATCTGAATATACGTGAACTAAATAGGAAACTTTCCAGAAAGGAAGTGAAAAAATAACTTCTTGAAATATCACCATGAAGAAAATATCCCCTTGGGTAAGATCCTTCTGTAAGTATTTCCACATGCCTTCTTAATTCACGGTGCTATTTCTTTTCTCATCAAAGGAAGTCTACCTAAGACATCTGCTAAGCCAAAGGAGGCCATTGTACCCCATGCCTGTGACCCTGATTTGACTTTTGACGCTATCACCACCTTCCGCCGAGAAGTAATATTCTTTAAAGGCAGGTAAACCCATTCCCTTAAACACCTCAACTTCCTATGAATATTTTTCTTTTCAAGAGATTTGGGGGTAAATAGGGAGGAAATCGCAGGGATAGTGAGAAAGTGTTCCTTTTCCTTTTCATTTTTTAACCGCCCATACTCTTTGAATGTTTTACTATATGTATATATCTCTTGCTTGTTTGATAAATTAATTTTTAAAATGTTCTTAAGCAAATTTTTTAATTGCCATTGTATAAGAAGGTGAAGTAGAGTCATTTTCAGTGACTTCTTAGCTAAAATAATACACCAATCCCAGTGGTGCTGGAGCTGACCTACACCACTTCAGGAGCCAATGGTTAAATTTTGGGGAATTTTGTAAACCACTTCACATCACTTCTATAGCTTGGAACTGGCCATGGTTGGAGTATTTACACCCTGGAAATCAGCAAATGATAAAAATTAGGTCTTTTTTCTACTGGAAGTGCCAGCTGATAAACATGAAGGACCATGATTCCTTCATGTTGCATCAGTGAAGTGTTCACTGTAGTAGGAACTCTCTTCTCTCCCTGTGTTTAACTTACTGGACTTCAGTTGCAACACAGCCTGTCAGTTGTGTTTACCATGACTATATTTTCAGAACAAAGGATTGAGACATAGACCATCTCACAAGCACTGGGGCACAAGGAAAGAATATTTGAAATCAGTCTCCTTCCACCCACAGCTATACAGCACTCGGATGACATGCTACCACCACCATGCTCTGCACCACAGAGTCTGAGGCCACTTGTCAGGGACATCAGAGAGGGGCGGCCCAGCGTAGGAAGGGCTTTTCGAGTCTCATTCAGGGACTCAGAAGTTTACAGCCAGAGGGGAACATCTCAGGAAATATTTTACCATGCAATGATAATACTTCTTTATTCTAGCAAACATCAGACCAAACAGTTTTTCTTAGATGCTTGGTGTTGCCTTAGAATTCTGAGTATTGCTGATTTGGCAAAAATGAGGCCATTGAGCACTCAGAATTGAGATTTCTGTGGGTAGGTTGCTACTCTAAGTTCCCAGGAGAGTGGGCACAAATCGTGTCCTTTGCAGTCACAGGGTAGAAGTGAGCTCACAACCACCTACATTGGCTGAGGAAAATCGTGTGAATGCTCTAAATTATTTGAGGAGAACGCTAATCAATTAAATAAAAGACAGGCCTAGGTTTACAGTATTTCCACTGCAATATAGGCTGTTTGTGGAAAGTGTTTTTTGTTCATCACAGGCACGTATGGAGGATCTACTATGATATCACTAATGTGGAATTTGAACTGATCTCTTCATTCTGGCCGTCCCTGCCAGGTGATGTTCAAGCCGCATATGAGAGTCCCAAAGATAAGATCCTAGTGTTTAAAGGTAACTTTGCCCATCACGATTTCTCTTCTGTCTCTGGAAGCCTGAACTTGTTGGTGGGTATTTTGGGGTAAGAAGCAAAATATTCACACGTGGGCCAGATGGAGAGCGCTTCTGCCATGACCATGGGTTCCTTCAAAAAGAAAAACTATCCAGGGGTTCTCTGTGGCTGTGAAGACAAACATCATCCCAACTACACAGGAGCTAAAAGAAACCTGTATGGTAAAAACTAAAAAACTATCTTTTTTCTGCCAAATAAAGGGAACCCATCCGTCTTTTATATTCCCATTTTACTACGGTTGTCAGATTTAGCAAATAAAAATACAAGATGCCTTGAATTTCAGATAAGACACATAATTTTTTTATTATAAGTATGTCCCTTACAATATTTGAATATACTTATACTAAAAATTAGTCACTGTTTATTTGAAATTCAAATTTAACCAGAATCTTATATTTAAGTTATCAATGCTATTTTTATATGGATTTCATCAGATTACTTGCCTTTGAGAATACTTGGGGGCTGAAATCTAGGAGAACATGTCCAAACATAGTTGACTCTTTCGTCAGAGTTAGAGAAATAATCCAGTGAAACCAAATGACATGCATACCAGTGAGCATGCTCACTATTAACTATCGGGGTGTGTTATTTGTGTAATCGTAATGATAAAAGCAGCCAAAGAAGGCAGTAAGAACAAATGGGGACATGAGGCAACTAAATCCTGAGAGACGAGGCATCTAATTATTTTCAAATTTCTTAAGACATCTATTTTTCCCTCTGGGTATTAGATCGGAAGATAATCACTTTCTGTCTTCCTAGATGACAACTTCTGGATGATCAGAGGATATGCTGTCTTGCCAGATTATCCCAAACCCATCCATACACTTGGCTTTCCAAGACATGTGACGAAAATTGATGCAGCCCTCTGTGACCACAGTGCCAGAAAAACCTACTTCTTTGTGGGCATTTGGTGCTGGAGGTAAGTTTGCAGACAATCAACCTCTTCATTTTATTCTGCAGAAAATATCCACATAGCATCACTTTAACACGGGCAGAAATAAAACTAACCTATAGTCCTCTTTTTTTTTTTTAATAACATGATTCAACCTAAAGTCATGAGATTTTCTTTTTTTTAAACTTTTTATTTATTTATTCATGAGAGACAGAGAGAGAGGGGGGGGGGCAGAGGGAGAAGCAGGCTCCCAAGGAGCAGGGAGTCCGATGCGGGACTCGATCCCAGGACCCCGGGATCATGACCTGAGCCGAAGGCAGACGCTTAACCATCTGAGCCACCCAGGCGCCCTAACCTATAGTCCTCTTAAAGCCAATTATGTTGAAGCCCATCTTGGGTAGATGACATCCACCAAACAAAAGAATGTTTCAATGAGTCCAAAGATCTTTCTCCAACATTAAAAAAAATAAAGACAGTTTTGATGGATTCCTGTCTTGTGGTCCATATATACAATGGAATATTACTCAGCCATAAGAAAGGATGAAAACCCAACTTTTACATCAACATGGATGGGACTGGAGGAGATTATGCTAAGTGAAATAAGTCGGGCAGAGAAAGTCAATTATCATATGGTTTCACTTATTTGTGGAACATAAGGAATAGCATGGAGGACATTAGGAGAAGGAAGGGAAAAATGAAGGGGGGTGGGAATCAGAGGGGGAGACGAACCATGAGAGACTATGGACTCAGAGAAACAATCTGAGGGTTTTAGAGGGGAGAGGGGTGGGCGGATGGGTTAGCCCGGTGATGGGTATTAAGGGGGGCATTACTGCATGGAGCACTGGGTGTTATACGCAAACAATGAATCATGGAACACTACATCAAAAACTAATGATGTATTGTATGGTGACTAACATAACATAATAAAATAAAATTTTAAAAAAATAGAATAAAGATAAGATAAAATAATAAAGCTGGTGATGCCAACCAAATTGCCAATAACACAAATGTATCTGGTGAAAGCTCCAAGCTGAGCCCTTACTTTTCTTTTCTTTTCTTTTTTAATTGCAATGTACTTATTATACAGTGCAATATTAGTTTCTGGTGTACAATATAGTGATTCAACACTTCCATACAACATCCTGTGCTCATCACGACAGGTGCACACCTTCATCCCCATCACCTGTTTCCCCCATTCCCCTACCCTCCTCCCCTCTGGTCACCACCAGTGTGTTCTCTGTAGTTCAGAGTCTGTTTCATGAGCCTGTACTCTGATTTAATAGTCCCTCAGAATGGCATCAGTCTGACTAATGATGTGGCTTTTCCCCCTCATCATTTCTTGTTTCCGAGACACTACAAATGATTCAGCCAAACATAATCTTTGACATGTTTTTCATTATTGATCAAATTACTTTTCCTGTATGAGGGCTACTTTTTCTCCACATCCCTATTTGACCCCAAGTGGGGCAGTGGAAGGATTAAGCTCCCCGAAACAAAGATCCCCTGGAAATTTTTCCAACCCCTGCATGCAGGTATGATGAAGTGACCCAAAGCATGGACAAAGGGTACCCACGGAGGGTGGTGAAGTTCTTCCCAGGAATTGGTCTCCGAGTCGATGCTGCTTTCCAGCATAAAGGTGAGCATCAGTACCTAACCCTGTAGGATACTTGGAAGGCCTCACTGGCTGAGAGAGAAGATAGTACAGAAATGTAACTGCTTCCATTTTTTTTTTAAAGGTTTGCACTATTTATTTATTTATTATGTTCAATTAGCCAACACATGGTAAGTACATCATTAGTTTTTGATATAGTGTTCAATGATTCATTAGTTGAGTAAAAGTTTTAATGTAATTTTGCTCTTCTCGAGTACCCATAATAATAAACTCTAACCAGGCAGGCATTCTCACAAACCGAATTAGTGAGTTCTGAATCATAGGTTCTGTTATACTATTTCAAATCCCTGCAAAAAGTACGAAAATTAATTTTACTTATTGATCCAAGAGAGCCCTGGAAAGTCATCCCCCTGAAGAGTTTTAAGTGTGAAAAATGATAAGCACATGAATTGGACAGTGACTCTCAAGCTATTATGTGCATGGTTTAATATGTGCACATGGGGGTTATGTGAGAAATGACAAATTCTTCAGAGTTCCTGACGCAGATGTAGGACTGTGGGTGAGAAGCAGAAATCTACAGCTTTAGAAGCACCTCAGGCAACTTAAGGTCCAGTCTACCTACTCTATCTTCAGACTTAGACCACGGAAAACAACCTAGAACATGGAGTAAACAGGAGTCTAAAAAGTTTTCTGAATGACACCATCTTTTACTGCAGTGAAATCTCACACAAAACCTTAACTCCTAAAACAGATAGAGCAGAACAACCCAACGAAAATGAGGATATAGGGTCCAAGGCCATACCCACAGGGGCCTTCTCCCTCTGCCAAGACTCTGTTCTGAAACCTAGTAGAAGTACCTCTGGCGTGAACCACAGTCTGGCTAGAAAGGTGGTGATCCCCTTGACATTCATGTTCAGACCTTGGCTTCTTCCTTGGGGAAATAAAAATAACAATATTTCTCATGTGACAGTAGTAAAGTAAAATATATCTAGATAATACACAAGTTTCTTTTCTTTCCATAATGTTCAATTATTTTATTCCATATGCATACAGTTAACAAGTGTGGAACCATCATAGAGTTGTGCAAGATAACTAATGATGATTCTCTCTCTCTAGGATTCTTCTATTTCTTCCGTGGATCAAAGCAATTTGAATATGACCCCAAGGCAAAGAACGTCACCAGAATAATGAAAATCAATACCTGGTTTCGGTGTGAAGAACCATTAAACACATTATCTGATTTTAGTATCAGTGAGGAAGGAGTCCATTCAGGAGGAGCAGAGATGTTTTATCATAAGAATTTAAACTTGCTTATTTTTAGTATTGTTCATGTGCTGAAAAAAATCTATAGTTATCAATAAATTCATGGACCAAAAATAAACCTCCAGAGGTCTTTTAATCTGAATTCTGCTTCAAAGTGGAATAGAACTATTCTTTCACATAAGTTGCCTGCCCTCGTTCTAGATATCTATTCAACAAAGATTCCACGGATATTTTCAGCTGCCTGATTCTCTTTACAGGAAGTTATCATGCATAAGCAAAACTCTCGCTGTACTTTAATCCTATTTTATGCTTTGTGAACTTGAAAAAGCAAGCCATGTATCTTATAATAACTAAACACTGCAGACATTTATTAAACCAATCTTTAGCAACCTATTTTGTCTGGACCTTTGCAGCTGGAGGCCCAATAAACTGCAACCCTCATCCCTATCCCATATTCTGAAACCACCGAGAAATGATGCTCAGTTGGGAGAGAAAATGCCACCTTTTTTACTGATAAAACTTATATTAGTAAATGTACCTGTGGGCAAGCTAGTTTCCTAATATCAAATTCTAGAAGAAGACGTACTTACACACAAGTCCTGGGGAGAACTGGAAAGAACCAAGTCTCCCCCAAGAATGTGAGTCTTCTGTAGGTTGCATGGAGCCCAAAGAGAAAGAAAGAGGATGGAGTTACATGTGCCAAGTTTCTGTTCCCAAACTCACCAAATCAGAGAAGTTATTCCCCCTGCCAAATAGGAGCGAGAGCCTCGAGGGATACAAGACGTATTACACAACAGGTGCTCCCCCAGCAATTAGGAAACCAGTAGGAGAAGGAAAATAGTGTTCCCTCTAACCTCCCAAGCACAGGCTAATGCATTTAACCATTCCTTAAAGAATTTAAAATACACACTGATCTCAAGAAACGTTGACTTTTCCTCCCTGTGTTTGAAATATTGGGTTTCACCTGAGCCAAAACCCATAAATGGAAAGTTCCTGTCCTCTTTGCTACACCAACTTTGTTGAGTTTCTAAATTCTTAATGGTTAAATTTTACCTTTCCACCCTCAAAACAAAAGGTTGGCTAAGCTCATGAATTTTTTTCTTTTTTTTTTTTTTAAATATTTTATTTATTTATTTGACAGAGGGAGAGACAGCGAGAGCAGGAACGCAAGCAGGGCGAGTGGGAGAGGGAGAAGCAGGCTTCCCGTGGAGCAGGGAGCCCGATGCAGGGCTCGATCCCAGGACCCCGGGATCATGATCTGAGCTGAAGGCGGACGCTTAACCGACTGAGCCACCCAGGTGCCCTCTTCATGAATTTTCTGACCCGGAAAATGGAAGGTTGTCAGTTGAACTTGATTCTGATGAGGTGATAGATTGAGCAAGTGTCACCTAATAGAAAATATGCATAGAAAATCTCAGAAATTCCTATAGTCACATTTCCTACCTTGAGTTCATTGTTCCCAGATTCCTATTAGAAAGGGACATAGAGAAGAGTTATTGCATGTTTGGAATAGAAAGTAAATTTTAAAGAGTACAGCTTAATACCTAACATATAGTAGATGTGCTAGTCTTTGTAAAACAAATAGTGTTGGAATAATCAAATATCCATATGTACACACAGAAAGAACCTCATAAAAATTAACTCAAAATGAGTCATAGACCTCTAGTAGAAGAATCAAAAATATAAAACTTCTAAAAGAAAATATTTTAAAATTTTTGTGGCTTTAAACAGATTTTGAGATAGGACATAAAAACCATGAACCATAAAAGAAAACACTGATGAATTAAATTTCACCAATACTGAAAACATTTGCTCTTCTAAAAAAACATTAAAACAATGAAAAGTCAAGCCACACATTAGGAGAAAATATTTTCAAAACATGTTTCTGATAAAGGACTTGTATCCTGAATATAGAAAGAATTCTTCTAACCCAAAAAGAAGACAAACAACTCCATTTTCTTGAATGGCCAGAATATTTGCTGAGTGGCAAATAAACACATAAAGAGATGTTTAACATCTTAATCATTTAGGAAATGCTAATTCAAACCATAACGAGATACCACTCATACCCAACAGTATGGTTCAAATGAAAAAGACTGAAAATACCAAGTGCTGAGAAGAGGTTGAGTAACCGGAACTCTCTTGGAGTGAGAATAAAAAGTTAAACAGCCACTTTGGAAAACTGTTGGGCTACTCCTTATAAAGTTAAACATTCACTTGCCATGTGACCTATGACCCCACTCCTAAATATTTACCGAGAAAAATGAAAACACGCTCATGCAAATGGTTGTACATGAACGTTAATGATCGCTTTCTTTATGACAGCTGAAACTGGAAACAACCCGAATGCCTATCAATTGGTAAACAGATAAACTGTGGTCCATCCATCCAGATGGCGGAAAACCACACGTGCAACAATATGGAGGAATCTTGAAAGCCTTTGGTAAGTGAAAGAAGCCAGACACAGAAGACTCACTATCACATGATTCCCTTTATATCTAAAAATTAGAAAACGCAAAAGTAAAATGATAGAAAACAGATCGCTGCTTGCCCGGGTGGGGAACAGGGAAGAGACTGAACACAAAGGAACGTGAAGATGGAGATGTTCTGTGTCACAATTATGGCGTTGGCGACACTAGTGAGTATATTCTTTAAGACTGCATAAAGTTAGTGAATTGTACTATATGTTAATTCTACTTCATATCACTGACTAACAAGAGCAGTGAGGCATAGCGCTGATTCTCAAATGTTGGTCAAGCTTCTTTTGTTTCCTCTTGTCTACTCTCAGTTCTGTGGCATAAATGTCTGTGATATTATAATTTGGGGCAGCATCTGAAATTGCACTCAGATTTGCTTATGGGCAGTTACTTTCTCCTTGATTTTCAAGAAAAATATTGACCATAGGAGAGGACAAGATTCAATTATAAAAAAAAATCTTATTTTAAACCCAGTGGGATATCTAAAAACACGGTTTTCTGAGGAATACAGGTTGACTATTAGAGCTATATTAAACATTTATAAGAATAACCCAGAGGTCAGATGATATCACTCAGCCTTTGAAATTTAAGTAAACTTGACTTCCAAAATCCTATGGGGATTGTAAGACCCTCCACTAAGCGACTGTCCCTTCGCCAGGCCACCTCCCAGCCACGTCTCCTGGGCCTCCAGGCCCTGCTTCTCTGTCTGACCCCCTCCCTGCTTTGCCTTCTATGAGGAACCCACGTTCCTATTAATTTTTTGTTTAGAATGTATAGCAGTGAAACTCCCTTTGTTTTATTGTCTTTTCAAGGTGCTATCAAGGCCTCTGCTTTCTTGGAAAAGCAGCTTCAGAAGATAGGTTTTTCTCCTAGAGAAGAGCACCAGAATACACGTTCACCTTCCTTCCTGAAGGAAGTGTTTCAGTTTCCCTTGGCTAGCCTGGAGGCTGGGCGGGACCATGGGCTCTGGAGCCGAACTGCTCCGGTCTGTGTCGCTCCTAGTCCACCTGGTAGCTGCGGGACTTTGGGCAAGTTCCTGAGCTCTCGGTGCCTCAGTTCCTCCATCTGTGAAAGAGCATAGTAAGAGATCCAGGCTCAGAGGGTTGTTCAGAGTGGGACTAACGGGTCACCTTAGGATTTCAGGCAGAGCGCGTGCCATCATTATTCAATTAGGGGAGCTGAATAACGTACCCCAAAGTACAAACGATTGGAAAAACGAGAAGCCGATCTCAGAGTTTCCTGAAATTGGAACAAACTAGGAAGCAATTCTTTCCCAGCTGTGCCATCCACTTACTGGGAACAAATTAACTGGAACGACAGAGTTTGTTTCAATTTGCTGCGTGCGCTAGTTTTCTCCAGGGTCTGTGAGCAGGTCTGGAAACAAAGAAAGAGCTTCGAGAGCAAGCATGACCAGGACCGCATCGACAACCGTTGTGCTTGTTGGAGATCTGAGCCACAGCCAGGGAACAGAAGCGAATTCACACAGAGAGAAGGTATTGCACTTTCCTCTTGCCTGGAGACAGAGGGAACGTGGCATGACCTTCCTGCTGGTCGGGTCCACTCTCCTTCCGCATTCGCCTGAATGAATCACTTGTTCCCCAGGGAAACAGAGGAATGTTTTTCTTTCGGTCTTGAAGATATTTTAAACACATGACATATCTTCAGGCTGAAATTCCGTCCCTTGTTTGTCTTCAGGTATAAAGAATCCTAAAAAGGAAGTTCAGTAGCTAAAAAATATCTTTAACTTCCTTAAACTGGTCACAGAATCCTAAACCTTAAGTCTATATTCACTCACTACCCAGATACTGCTATCTACCTGAAGTTTCCACAGGAAAATAAAAATCCAGCTTTCCCTAATAGGAGTCACTTAAAATGTGATTTCTAGAAGAGATCAGGAAAGTATCAACAGAATAGTCCACACTGGATTTCCCTTAAAGGGAAAAGTTTCCAGAACAGAGAAATGTTTCTGTCTGACCACTCTTCATAGTTTCATGCAGCTTTTACTGCTTAAGTGACCATAAAGCCATATTTGGTTTTAATCTTGAGATTCAATAAATATTTTTTCTATTTATTTCTGAACTATGGTGTTCAATTTATTAGTAAAAAATAGTACAAGATTTATTTTGAAGCTTATTTATTTTTTGACAAATTGAGTTCAGAGTTTCAGGTTTCTTGAACTATTTTTAAAACTTAGAAAGCAAAAAGAACCCAACAGGGAGGACTTTAAGTGGACAAATCCATGAGGATGAAATGGAAGGCACAGGAGTCTAAAACGCTCTGGAAATGGGACGCTAGGGGTTTGAAAGAGTCCCATATGAAAATGCATCATACATTACAAGGTTCTTATGATGAATGTAATCTTCTCGGGAGGCTTGTGTTAGTGAATGTGTTGATTTCAACTAAGATGGCGCCTTGTTATTTTTCACCTAACACTTAGCTGGTCATATGACCATGACTCGGTCTCATTTATTCAGTATGTAGGTCTTCAGTACCTGCCGTAAGTCAGACACACGGTCTGTTGAGGTGTATGCTTCCATTCAACAAACATTTACTGGGGGCCTACTGGTGCCATGCACTGTTTCAGGAGCCAAGGACATCGCCCTGAACAAAACAGCAGAGCCCCTGCCTTCATGGGCCCCATATTCCGGCCAAGGTAGAGAAACCACAAATAAACAGAAAGTTGTAAATATGTCAAGCTTGA